ATTTAACTTTGAATATGTAAAAAGTAAAATCAGACTGCAAAGAACTAAAAAGCATAAAAAGCATAAAAAACATACGTGAGTGTCGTGGAACACTCGGTTGGAACGAAGTTCCTTTCGTAATATATTATTATTGATAAACGTGTTAAATTATTGATTAACATATACAAATAAGTGAATTACTATTAAAATGAAGCGTCATTTAAAATAAAAAAATATTTCTTTCATGTCAAGATAAGAAAAAGTGCGAGGGGGATGGTTATTAGTCCAAATCGCTTCCCCATAGCCGCTAAGGCTGTCTACACTACGTCAGAAGGGGTCGTGTCGGAAAAATCTTACTTTTTCTCGCCTAGCCCCCACCCGCCAAATTCGTACCGTCCGATAAGGTACTCTGTTCCAATATGAAGTCGGTGTTAAGACAGCGTATAGAAGAATTACTATTTCTTCAGAATGTGAAATAATTTTATTGTTTATTTAGTTCATTATAGTCGGATTTTACTTTTAAATAAAAGTTCAAAAAACTAAAAAAAAATAAAAGATTTTACTGTTAAAAGCAAATCGGGGATTCTATATAGAGTATAGAAAATTTAATTTTAAAATTTATTTTATATTATTTACCCTATGCCTACGCATCGTGGGCCTAAACCTAAAGAAATGAAATTACGAACCTAAGCGAAGACTGTCAAACTGTTATCACTTTGCATTGCATGTAATAACTTCAGATGGGTTATTAAAATGGAAAAAATCGATTTATACTACACAAATCTATTGAAATGGCGGTGTCAAAGCGTATACGTAGTAGTATTGTCATGAAAATTAACATTCACAGAGCTAAGTTGTTAGTTAACACAATCTTGTTATTATACTTTACTCCTGAGACTCCTGCACGCAAAGTACCTATAGATTACGCAGTACTATAGACCCCACAGAAATCTAAATAATAATAGATTTCTGTGGTAGACCCTATTAGAAACCACTCGGGACACAAGTTCAAAGATTTGTGCACATTATTACTAACATCTACTTAAATAAAAGTGCCACCACCAATATCATATTTAAAAAAAAATACTAATTAAATAATTAATATGTATAATATTCATATTAATAGTTTTTAATATTGTATATAAGTATTTCAATATAATGTAAATAAGTATTGTTTATAAATATTAAAATTGATGTTAAATATTTAGGCAGCCTCCTTCATTATTAAAAAGTCTTAATGGCTTAAGGTCTACACATATTAATCCAAAAACGGAAGAATTTAAGAATAATTACTGAAACATGCAAAATTAAAACTACTTTCGATAAAAAGTAAGCTCAAACAAGTAGAAAATTTAAAATTTGTACAACCGTCTTCAACCTAAACAAAATGAGAATCAATGTAGTCGAAGTCAATTAAATACGTATTATTAAGGATAACTCAAAGACTACTGGTTAGACTTGGATCTTGATCAAATTTAAATGGTATCACATGAGAAGCACCAGCTTTCAAATAAAAAACTTCAACATCGATTCACCTATAAAAAAGTTCTAAGGTAACAATCATTAAAAAATACAGTCAAATTGAGTACCTCCTCTTTTTTTGAAGTCGTTTGAATTATCTTTAAAAACTAGCCAGGCAACCCCAGAAACTGAAACCGACCTGACGTCTTGGCAGCCCTTACTGCACTTACTGCCACATGTACCTTTTGCTTTGTTTTCCAATCAGATAATAGAACATGAAACGTTACCGTCTGTCGCCCAATAAACATATTTAATGATTTCGATCGATCTTAAGGACAGCACGGCTGATTGCAGTACGGATACAGCATCTAGTTGTAATTCGCGCAGAGTGCATTTTATTCATAGAAATACTGAGAATTATAGTTGTAGAAATACAATGATTTTATTTTTTCACAACGAAGTAATAAAAACTATAATTATCTATATTTATACAAATAAATAAAATTAAAGTGTCTGTTTGTAATGTTAAAATAACAGCTTTTTACTAAATGCATATGAATGTATATGTCTGTCTGTCGGTCTGTGTCTCTGTATGTCTGTTTGTTCCGGCTAATCTCCAAAACGGCTGGACCGATTTCGACGGGACATTCACTGGCAGATATCTGATGTTCTAAGGAGTAACTTGGGCTACTTATATTTGAGAAAAAGAATCAGGGTTCTGAGCAATATAATTAAAACCTTAAATTACACGCGGGCGAAGTCGCGGGGGACAGCTAGTTAGTAATAAAAGGACTACAGTTTAATTAATGTCCTCCAGACTGAATGTCAGTCACACACAGCACAGGACAGAATTATGCGAGTAGTGCCTGAGTATAAGGTGATCGCCACCATGCTGGTTCTATGAAAATTCATTTAAAATTGTATAAACTAAATGATTGTTAAGTGAAATTATGTTTAAAAAAAAGGTCCCGCTGGATTTCTTGTTGGTTCTTCCCAGGACAGAGGTATTTTCCGAACCAGTGGTAAATAAAATAATGACTTTCAATAAGTATTATGTAATAATCCATATTGAATAAAAATCATTCTATTCTATTCTATTCTATTCTATGCGTAAGCACAGGTGCACTCTCTATTCTCTCACTCCTGTAGTTCAATGGGACGGTTATTCGACACCACCGGAGAGATTAGATGCAAGTAGCAACGGCTTTACCTGCTTTCCGAGCCACGGTGGTGAAACACCATCAACTTCCTGACTCCCGACTGCTACTGAGAATTTCTTGACGGGAAAACCCCAAAAACTGATTTTCGAACCTGAGACCTCATGATCTGTAACCGCGTTGGTCACTAGACCAACGAAACAGTAAAAGGATTAAAGTACTACGGACTTAGACCTGTTAGACTTGGGCCGTGGGCGGCGAAATTTAAAAGATACATTTTTTTTATAGGAGAGGGGGCAAACGAGCATACGGCTCACCTGATGGTAAGTGACTACCGCCGCCCATGAACAACTGCAACACCAAGGGCGCGTTGCCTGCCTTTTAAAAAGAAGTAAGCTCTTTTCTTGAAGGTCCCTATGTCGTATCGGTCCGAAAAAATCGCCGGTGGTACCTAAGCTATTCCACAGAGAGGTCGTACGTGGAAGAAAACTCCTAGTAAAACGTACAGTCGTGAACTGCCAAGCATCCAGATGGTGTGGATGGTATCGGGAGTTCTGCCGCGATGTGCGTTCGTGGAATTTGGCGGCTGGAATTAATCCGAACAATTCCTCAGAGCACTCCCCGTGGTAAATAGAATAAAACATAATATAAACCGATTGTGAATTGCTGTCTCTCGCGACTTCCCTTGCGTGGAATTTACTACGATTTCATGGGTTTTAATTTTTCTAAAATAAAAGTATCCTAAGTTACTCCTTATAACATTTGCTATCTGTCAGTGAAAGTCCTGCCAAAATTGTTCCAGTCGTTTCGGAGATTACCCGAAAGAAACAGACAGACAGACAAAAATTTTAAAAATTGTTTTTTTGCTATTAGTACCGTATATACTTTCATAGGTTTAGGTACATAACAATAAGGGCGCTTTATTTTTCAGGCCTAGGACTCCATTAAACTAAATTACCTTACTGTATCTTAAAGTGTTCCATCTTCGTGACTACGAACCTTCTTTGATAGAGTTGTTTACTTCTCTGTTAGGTTTCTATATATATACTTGTATAGCTGGGGCCCATTGAATAACTCAAGCGAAATGTAACATCTTTGTCATGTATGTAAATGTTATATATGCACATATACCTAAAACAAAATGGTTCACCAATTCAACCGACATAAAGGTGTCATTTAATAATAGGGATAGATTCTAACATGCTTGATAATAACGTTGTGACAACAATTCGGTATACGCGGTAGAGCCATGCTGCAGCTATATTAGTAGTATAGTTGTAGCACGAATGGGACGGCTCGACCGGGGAAGGACCACGCTCTCACAGAATACCAGCGTAAAATAGCAGCTTAATGCTGCTGTGTTTCGTGTGGTGCGTGTAGAGAACCGGAGATCCTTTTTACTGGAAACGAGGCATTCCGTGGTAATCCTTAGGGGTGATAGCGCATTTGCATTTTGATTCTTAATCGAGGATAAATGTAGATGTCAATGGGCCTCAGCATCCACTTACCGTCAGTAGACAGTGTGTTCGTTTGTCACCCATATACAATATAAAAAATTTATAACTTAATTAATTACTTTGTTTAGTACAAGGATATTGATAATTTTAATTTTTTGTTCCATTTGAGTGGACCAAGGAATATCATAACCTCAATACAACAACTAGAATATTGTCTAAATAGTTAAGTACCTAAATTAAAAATATCAACCCGTATTTTTTGACGTTTACGGCTGAAATTTAATCTAAAAATTTATTTGAGACCAAATTGACGAAATTTTAATGTAAAAAGTTAAAAGTTAAAGTTACAGCCTATATTACTTCCCACTCCTGGGCACAGGCTTCCTCTCATTTCTGAGAGGGTTTTAGAGTAAGGAAATGTCCGCCGCGCTGCCCTAATGCGTGTTGGCGAACTTCACAAGTCTTTCTTTCTTATTTTTTCTTATTTTTCAGACATGCAGATTTCCTCCCGATGTACAAATTTCATGTAACATACAGGCAAAAAAACATAGATAGTCAATAATTCTTAATTAATTTTTAAACTGCTTGAAGTTACTGTCTATAATTATGAGACCCATTGCTAGGCATGGGCTTCAAGTCATTTCTAAGACAGTAATGGAACAATTGGTCCCCTTCACGTACCCCGATATATTATACATTTAATTTTCCTGACAATGTTTTTCTTTTCCACTGAGCACATTATAAATCAGCACATAAAATTTTGATTAACAACTTTAATGCTCCAACCGAACATAAATCGGGTTGCGGTACAATAAAATTTAAGGCAAGGCGTATTACTAGGCTACGACGCCTTTAAATCTAGTTAAAACTGAAAATCAATTTTATACCTATATCTATTTTACCTTTGGATTCTCATTATGTGATTTTAAGAACTATAAAATTTTAGTTGGAGTCAGAAAGTTGTAAAAGCTACGTAGAGCCGGTGACGGCGTCGCGAGGGCACGACGAATCTCGGGACACCAAAGCGGAGCGCGAAAGGCCTTTCCTTAATGGTAAGCTAAAAGGCATGAAAATCCAATCCAGTCATTTGTATTGATAAATGATATGCACATAAAATGTTATGTGTATAGTTTTTAGTTGTTATTAAAAAGAGTTTTATATTAATGAAATCGTCAATTAAATATTGTAAACATAAGAAATAAAATTTATTCGTACGTGGTTGAGCCACGCTGCAAGCTATATTATGGTTGTAACACAAATGAATCGGCTCGACCGGGGTAGGACCACATTCTCAGAGAATACGTTTCGTATGGTAAGTGTAGAGAACCGGTAACCCTTTTTCCTGAAAACGTATTCCATCTTAGTCCTCAGGGGTGACAACACATTTGCATTTTGTTTTTTAATAGATATCTAAGGGCCACAGCATCCACTTACCATCAGGTGAACTGGGTGATCGTTTGTCACCCTTATTCTAAAAAAATATATTATAGTATACTGCTAACATTAATAACTCTCAACGTTTTTCTTGAATCTTGTTTACATTTTCTTGTCTTAATGTGGTGGTGGCCCGGCGTAAGAGAATCCATCACCTAACCCTCGTCACTGTATATCGGAAAAAGTGAGTATGAAAAAAGATCCCATGGCCTACACTAGATGGACATATAGCTGTGGCAGCCCTGTCGTCGCGCCACAAGCGAAACGCACCAAATCTTAAATCACGCTATCAAAGTTACGAAGTACTGCGGTATATATAAAATAGCTCCGAATTCGGAGCGTTGGCTGCTCCCCGCGCTGAACAGCGACTCCACCTATCCGCTAAAGAGAGTAGAAGAAGAGAGTGGACTTATAACTGAGATAGAGTAGTATTATTATTTATAATGTTTTGAATTATTTTTTATTCTTGCTTTAACATTGTAATTTTATCGACAATAAATGTGTTGTCCGTTTTAAGATTTTTTAATACACTTTAATTTTTACCAGGTGATTCCGGATCGTGTGGTCTAAACAGCCTGGCTCGGCTACGTTGTATAGTGCAAGCATTGGCAGCAAAGGACAGTGCTCCATGACAATTAAAATATCAGTGGTATTATAGAAGCTCGCGACATAGTAATAGAGCTACAATTAAATAAGGAAAAATACCAAAGTAGCTAAAATCCACTTGAGTATCAGTTGTATTTAAAGTGTAAAACACCATTAATATAAGTGTTACATAATTAATTACTTATTGTTAACAATTATATAGTTCAAATGACATATTTAAAACAACAATATCTGATGTCATAGGTAGTATGGTTGTAAAGATAGCTCGGTGTAGGATCAAGTAGTTGTCTTAAATTATATTAGTATGTAAACTGTGTTGGAAGCATAGGTTGGAAGTCCATTTAAGTTGGGTATCTATTAAAGTATCACTTCGTAATTGTGTCGTGACCTATAATAGCTAGCGGACTGTACAAAAGTGATAGAAAGAGCTCTTCCTAACTCTCCTAATATCCTAACAAACCCTAGTTTCATATCACCCTACTAGTCCAAGCCCTAGCCGTAAGGTGATATGTATATTACATATATAAGTAGGTGCGGCATGCCTATACCATAAGACCTCAGGTAACAGAGGGAAAGTAGGAAGGAAATGAGGACAGTAATCGGATTTTAGTAATCTCCTTATCTCAAAGCTTCACCAAACTGTGGTTGGTCTAAAGTTCTTTGCCACAGTAAAGGAATGTTGGTCGATATGTCGAGGCGAAAAACCTTCAATGAAATAGCGTCAATGTCCAAATGCCTTATTTACAAGTTACCTAATTATTTATTATAACTTATTTTATATGTAAATTAATAAATATAACACTAACCTTTGTGTGTATTTACATTACGAAATCTAAAGTTTTTGGGTTCGGTCACTGCTTTGCTGAGTACCATAATCGATGCTCACGGCTCGTGAACACTCGGTTTCAAGTCGCAGCTGATGCTCAATATTCTTGCAACAATCTATAGTTTATTCGCGTCTATTAAGCATATACGAGATATATCCAGTTCATATTATGTTATTTTATTATTACATTGTGTGAGTGACTGCTTCAGAACCGCAAATACCTATTACAATGAGGTTTTATCAATTATTAACGACCGTTATCAAATTTAGAAATTTAAAAAAGTCTCCAAGTTTTTCGCATAAAATACTAAGTATATATCCTAGCTCACTCCTGGCATAGCTGTTTGTTCGTCAAAATTCCTTGCAGTCTGTTCAACCATTCCGAAGATCAACTCGGACAAACAGACAGACAGATTTTTTAAAATTATTATTCATCTCCTAATGGCATGCAATGCCTCAGTTCAATAAAAAGCAGTTATATTTTCATTTTCATTTTTATGTTTTTCATTTCATTTATTTATTGAAATTAGTTAGATTTCTTGTTTTATTGTGTAAGTACTGTGTTATAGATGGTAATTCTCTCTTGTTTATGTTTATACCTTTAATATGTTTAGGCCTATTTCTGGCAAATAAATGCATTTTCTTTCCTTCTTTCTTTCTTTCAGTTATTTCTTTTTTTATATAAGATAAGGGTGACAAACGAGCACACAGTCCACCTGATGGTAAGTGGTTGCTGCGGCCCATAGACATCTACATCTATCCTCTATTACAAATCAAAATGTAGATGCGTTGTCACCCGTGAAGACTAAGATGGAATGTCTCATTTCCAGTAAAAAAGGCCTCCGGCCACCTGCACTCACCAAGCGAAACGCAGAGGTAAACCTCTATTTCACGCTGGTTTTCTGTGAGGTCGTGGTACCACCCCAGTTCGAGCCGGCCCATCCGTGCGACAGCAAAAGCTGCCGCGTGGCTCTACCTCTCGATATAATAGTAATAATGTTTATTTCAGATATACATATCCATACACATTTGTTAGTAATTTACATAAACTAAGTTAGTAAAAAATAAATAAATGTTATAATAATAATAAAATAAGGATAAATTAATTATATCAATAAGACGAGAGCAATCAGTTAAGAAACTTGAATGTCCCACCCAAATACATTAGGATGATTGTCAATCATCCTACAAACCCACAAATTAACGTCCCACAGTTGGAACAGAACAGGCTCCTCTCATTATTATATGTCGATCTCTTGTAATGAACACTTGCATTGTAGTTTTATTTAAAAATAGTGTTTATATAATATATAAGACATAGATGTAGAGTCGTTGCTCATAATAGCTAAAATTGTGTCTTAAAAATAAAATTAATATATTTTCATACTGAAGTTTTATTTCAATTAATAAGGTACGTGAGGGTAATATGGTCACCTTAAGCTTTGCCGCCTTATAAAACCAAAACTAGGAGGAGGACAGAGACAAATACACAATGTCGTATACTATAACTAATATAGAAAAAAAAAAAAACAAACAAGCCTTGGCAATAAGTAGCAACACTTCGAAAAATCAACTTAAAAAAAACTAACTATAGCACGTAAGCGTAATATGGTCATACGGTTAATATGGTCACTTTCTTATAACTCAAAAACTACAGCGTCGTTTGCATAGAACGCTCTGTGCTACGATAGCTCTTGACCAGTCTATTAAATAATAAAGGGTCAAAAAGGCGCTCCTTTATCGGCGGACGATGCGGGCGGTATCGAGGAGCACCGCCTTCTGCATTTGAGCTTGGAGCGGTCCATCACGGAGGTAATGTCGACCAAAAATATCCTTGACTGTGCCCGGTCTATCAGCACAATATCAGGCTTATTCGCAAGAATAGTCCTGTCTATGATGATGGCCCGGTCCCAGTAGAGCCTGGCGCGGTCATTTTCGAGTTCGGCTTCCGGCAAGTACTTATAATATGGCAGTTTCCGATCCACGAGACCGTATTCCAGAGCGAGCTCCTGGTGTAGAATCCAGGCTACTAGGTTGTGTCTATGCAAATACTCAGTGTTAGAAAGCGCCGAACAACCGGAGATGACATGCCTAAGTGACTCACCGGGATGGCGACAAGCTCGACAGATGTCGACGGTGCCATCCTTTAGGATGCCATTGCTCGTTGGCTAAGGATAGAGGGGTTAGTCCTTTACTATAATAAATAACGTCCCTATAGTATGGATCATCCGCTCTCGTTAGAAAGTAATTACGGAGGCTGCACACTTCGCGATTATGCATGGTAAGCGCGCTTAAAAAGCCGCGCCCACCATGCTTCCGCGGCAAGTAGGGTAAAGATAACAAAGAGTGCGCAGTTTTGACAGATTTATTTTTAAAATAATCAACTTTTGAGTTAAGTCTTCAATTTTACTTATAATTAGGCTTTGGTTTTTTAGGAACACTTTTTTTTTAATCTTATTATTAATCAACATACATTAATATTTAATAATTAATAAAAACAAGGACGTGTCTCACGCGCACTCTTAAGGTACAATGACTTAAAGAGTGCGCATCCATGGCTCTTAGTACTAGTTAAGAGTACGCATGAGGGTAATGGAAGCTTTGTCCATGGTGAAACATCTACTTTAACCAAGGCAAACGTCACACTTAAAAACTCCGAATCCTAGATAGTCAGAGCACTCGTCGTGCCACCAAGCCCCACACTGACTACATTGGATCCAGTCTTCATCTGGAGGTTCTACGTAGACTTCGGCACAAAGGGGGCATCGAACAACTTCTGTACCCGTACTTGTTTCCAGCAGTGTTGGTCTATTTGGTGTCGTAGATTTATTTTTATTTGATGTCTTCTTTGTCTTCTTGGCCTTTTCTTCTTTTTCTTTTTGTTCTGCTTCTATTTGATTTTTATAAGGAGAACTGGTAAGGATTTCTGATTTCTTACGTTTTATGTTTCTTTTTTTCTGAATGTTTGACTTTGGTAATGGTAAGATGTCTTCTGGTCTAAGAAAAGATGATTTGGATGGTGTTGGCTCGTCATTTTCTGGTGTTGTTATTACTTCCTGGTGATTATCAGTTGATTCAAGGGTTTCGGTTCCTCCGAGTTGAGATAATGCTATAACTGGAGCTGAAATATTAGTATTGACGGGTATAGGTGACGAGACAACTTGGGTAACAGTTTCTGTAGTTGTAAGTGGCAATTCAACAGCTAGATTTGAACTATTAAGGGCTTCGCCTGTACTTGAAGTTTCTGCAGTTGGATTGGGACGGTCAGTGACATTTGCAGGAGCAAAATCTTCATCGGAAAAAATCTGATCGTTAAAAGGCCAGATGCCACAAGATTCGAATGATTTCTTGGCTCTGTCAATTGAACCAACCTTAAGGTATGCAGTGCCAAAAGTCTTTTTCTTAGAGTCGATTCTGGGACATTCAAAGACTCTGCAACTGATCTTTGACTTTGCCCACGGCGTATTCTTTCCTTTGCATCTTTTAAAATTTCTTAAGTAAATACCAATTTTCTATCTGATTTTCTTTTATAACTTGACATATTTGCGATCTATAAAAAAACAAAAGATAAATAATTAAAAAAGCTACTTTGTTCCCCATGAGTTACTACCTAAGAGTGCGCATGCGCACTCTTTAGGTGCGCACTCTTAAGATTCACGCTAATTCGATTGGTTATGACAGTTACAATCATTCCAACAAGATCGCATTTATAACCTTACTTAATAGCAAAATATAATAACCAAATTTCAAGAATAACTCACATATTCAGGTGGCACCCTTATGCAAATCTTGTAATACGTCTTCGAAATTGTTGATAAATAAGATTAAAAGTACTCAAAACCTTTAAATTGCAATAATCAAACTAATAAATACCGCACCAACTTGAAAGCGTGTCTACTGATTTCAAGCGTCACTGTCAACTGACAGTTAGCGCAGTGCTGCCATGTGTTGAAATTTCGTACCATTTAAAAGCTGTGCGTACTCTTTGGTAGTGCGTACTCTTTGGTGTCTTTACTATACAGCCTCATTACTGACGATCTCGGATGATGCATCCTGTGGGACGTCATTATACTGCGGACCTTTCTGTCCAGACCGTTAAGTTCGGTCTGAGTCCACCTGAGTATGCCAAAGGTATACATGAGAACAGGCATGATCCAACCGTTATATGCGTGCGTCTTATTCACACCGGACAAAAGGCTA